GATATATTGCCTCCTGTCATTATGTGAGGGGTGAACAGATGGAGGTGTTGGGGGGCTGATGGGGGTTGATGGGGGGCTGATGGGGGGCTGATGTGACCTCAGGATACGATTACGGGGAAGAAGGTTCTTTGGACTCCTGTAAGAGGGAGGAGAAGACTCTGAAAGTTTTACTGCCATTTGTTCTGTTTTTTCGTTCCTTTAATTATTATTTCCGCCCGCCGCCCTACCCCAACTGAGTGAACTAAACATGAGACTGTAGTCCATCCCGGGGGGCGGAGCTTGGAGCGGTGACTACAACACACACAGGGACCATGGGGAACAGACGTAGTCACCCTCCAGAAGGAAGGACGGTGTCAGAGGTGATTGGACGATCTCCAGGCGAGTGATACAAATTAGATACATTGTTGCTCAGAGTTCGGGGGCTCGGGGGGATTTGGGGGGATTTTTAGGGTTTAGCTCCAGAGTTTGGTGTCACTTTCACCTTCCTGATATTGGGGGATGGTGATACTTCTAATAAATGATTGATAATCCCGGAAACAATGTAACTGATCGGCGTCGGCTCAGGCGGAGTGCACAGGAAGTTCCGTTCTCTGGATTTCTGGCGGGACTGTTGAATTTATTGATCTGATATGAGAAATCGCTTCCAATGGATATTTAACAGACCAATCGGGAGGAAGTAGAAGATCATTGTTGGGATTATAGAACTTTATTGATATAGATGGCGGAGGCGGTAACGCTTTTTATGTTCCGGATAAAGACTTCCATAACCCGAGTCAATAGATTCCTTGTTTACAGATCGATCGGTAACAATAAATACATTGATCACGGGAGGATTTCTGGGACAATGGCGAGTCATCAGCGATGTAATTAGGAGGACGAGGCGGGAATCGGGCGGCACCACGCGCGGCGTCCTCGGAGGAGACTTCACTCTGGAAGGTTTACGGAGAACATTTCCCAAATTCTCTTCTTATAGTCAGCCGCAGAGGGAACCAATCACAGAGCAGTGAGAGGACGTCTCGCAGAGGCCGCTTCAAGAGACAAACTGCACCTTATTTCAGAGATAACTGAGCTGGAAGCAACAGAAAACATCAGACCCCCGATCTAAGCTCCGCCTCCTGTCTTGTCTCATAGGGAGGAGTTACACTGAAAGGTTTAATCTCCTGTTCTGTGTATTAGATATATTAAGTCAAAGTCATCAAACAAATACACATCACCCAGCAAAGTATTTCTTTACATTGTTACCTAATCACTAAGTGTCATAATGTCTCTAAACAGCTCCAACTCTCTCAGCTCCACTTCCCTGAACTTCCTGTTCAGTACAAGATCAGAGCAGTCTACAACAGCCGTGCCGGGTGGCAATGGCATTGGTCTAGCGGCCCATGGCTGGTTGGGCTCTGTGCCGGGTGGGGGTGGCATTGGTCTAGCGGCCCATGTGTGGTTGGACTCTGTGCCGGGAGGGTGTGGCATTGGTGTAGCGGTCCATGGCTGGTTGGGCTCTGTGCTGGATGAGGGTGGCATTGGTGTAGCGGCCCATGGGTGGTTGGGCTCTGTGCCGGGTACGGGTGGCATTGGTGTAGCGACCCATGGGTGGTTGGGCTCTGTGCCGGGTACGGGTGGCATTGGTGTAGCGACCCATGGGTGGTTGGGCTCTGTGCCGGGTACGGGTGGCATTGGTGTAGCGACCCATGGGTGGTTGGGCTCTGTGCCGGGTACGGGTGGCATTGGTGTAGCGACCCATGGGTGGTTGGGCTCTGTGCCGGGTACGGGTGGCATTGGTGTAGCGACCCATGGGTGGTTGGGCTCTGTGCCGGGTACGGGTGGCATTGGTGTAGCGACCCATGGGTGGTTGGGCTCTGTGCCGGGTACGGGTGGCATTGGTGTAGCGACCCATGGGTGGTTGGGCTCTGTGCCGGGTACGGGTGGCATTGGTGTAGCGACCCATGGGTGGTTGGGCTCTGTGCCGGGTACGGGTGGCATTGGTGTAGCGACCCATGGGTGGTTGGGCTCTGTGCCGGGTACGGGTGGCATTGGTGTAGCGACCCATGGGTGGTTGGGCTCTGTGCCGGGTACGGGTGGCATTGGTGTAGCGACCCATGGGTGGTTGGGCTCTGTGCCGGGTACGGGTGGCATTGGTGTAGCGACCCATGGGTGGTTGGGCTCTGTGCCGGGTACGGGTGGCATTGGTGTAGCGACCCATGGGTGGTTGGGCTCTGTGCCGGGTACGGGTGGCATTGGTGTAGCGACCCATGGGTGGTTGGGCTCTGTGCCGGGTACGGGTGGCATTGGTGTAGCGACCCATGGGTGGTTGGGCTCTGTGCCGGGTACGGGTGGCATTGGTGTAGCGACCCATGGGTGGTTGGGCTCTGTGCCGGGTACGGGTGGCATTGGTGTAGCGACCCATGGGTGGTTGGGCTCTGTGCCGGGTACGGGTGGCATTGGTGTAGCGACCCATGGGTGGTTGGGCTCTGTGCCGGGTACGGGTGGCATTGGTGTAGCGACCCATGGGTGGTTGGGCTCTGTGCCGGGTACGGGTGGCATTGGTGTAGCGACCCATGGGTGGTTGGGCTCTGTGCCGGGTACGGGTGGCATTGGTGTAGCGACCCATGGGTGGTTGGGCTCTGTGCCGGGTACGGGTGGCATTGGTGTAGCGACCCATGGGTGGTTGGGCTCTGTGCCGGGTACGGGTGGCATTGGTGTAGCGACCCATGGGTGGTTGGGCTCTGTGCCGGGTACGGGTGGCATTGGTGTAGCGACCCATGGGTGGTTGGGCTCTGTGCCGGGTACGGGTGGCATTGGTGTAGCGACCCATGGGTGGTTGGGCTCTGTGCCGGGTACGGGTGGCATTGGTGTAGCGACCCATGGGTGGTTGGGCTCTGTGCCGGGTACGGGTGGCATTGGTGTAGCGACCCATGGGTGGTTGGGCTCTGTGCCGGGTACGGGTGGCATTGGTGTAGCGACCCATGGGTGGTTGGGCTCTGTGCCGGGTACGGGTGGCATTGGTGTAGCGACCCATGGGTGGTTGGGCTCTGTGCCGGGTACGGGTGGCATTGGTGTAGCGACCCATGGGTGGTTGGGCTCTGTGCCGGGTACGGGTGGCATTGGTGTAGCGACCCATGGGTGGTTGGGCTCTGTGCCGGGTACGGGTGGCATTGGTGTAGCGACCCATGGGTGGTTGGGCTCTGTGCCGGGTACGGGTGGCATTGGTGTAGCGACCCATGGGTGGTTGGGCTCTGTGCCGGGTACGGGTGGCATTGGTGTAGCGACCCATGGGTGGTTGGGCTCTGTGCCGGGTACGGGTGGCATTGGTGTAGCGACCCATGGGTGGTTGGGCTCTGTGCCGGGTACGGGTGGCATTGGTGTAGCGACCCATGGGTGGTTGGGCTCTGTGCCGGGTACGGGTGGCATTGGTGTAGCGACCCATGGGTGGTTGGGCTCTGTGCCGGGTACGGGTGGCATTGGTGTAGCGACCCATGGGTGGTTGGGCTCTGTGCCGGGTACGGGTGGCATTGGTGTAGCGACCCATGGGTGGTTGGGCTCTGTGCCGGGTACGGGTGGCATTGGTGTAGCGACCCATGGGTGGTTGGGCTCTGTGCCGGGTACGGGTGGCATTGGTGTAGCGACCCATGGGTGGTTGGGCTCTGTGCCGGGTACGGGTGGCATTGGTGTAGCGACCCATGGGTGGTTGGGCTCTGTGCCGGGTACGGGTGGCATTGGTGTAGCGACCCATGGGTGGTTGGGCTCTGTGCCGGGTACGGGTGGCATTGGTGTAGCGACCCATGGGTGGTTGGGCTCTGTGCCGGGTGGGGGTGGCATTGGTGTAGCGGCCCATGGTGCCTCTCGCATTATCTCTGGCAGTATCTTATCTTATTGCGGCGCGGTTACCATGATTGCGGAGAGGCCGCGTGTGACCCGCTGGCTGCACGTCCTTATTGAGCATCTCCCCGTGTGGACGTGTGCCGGGGAGGCCGATGGAGAACGTAGAGGAGTCTTCTCTCTCTCTTTTTAAATATCTTCCCTGAGTCTCGATCCCTTATAGCGGGGAAAGGGTTAAACCTCCCCTCACCCCCCTGCACCCCTCGGGACACGCACTGCGTGTGGCAGGAACATTCACACGCCAAGAAACATTCCTGATTCCAGATGATGATGGGGACGCCGCTGCGGCACACGACGCGCTCTCCGGGAATGTTGGATTAAAAGTCATAAAGCCAAAAACACAGCAAGAAGCAGCGACTGTTCCTCACCTCCCATCATCAGCCGAGGGCAGGGCACCGACTCTCACGCCGCCGCTCCTGAGTGCCAAGGGGGGGAGGGGGCCACCTGCACACATCTAATGAGAAGCTTCCGCCGTGCTATACATTGCGGTTACTTAAGGAGACTTACATGGTAAGAGCTCAGTCTGCTGCAGGCAGGAGGAAACATATCCTCAGTCTCCCCTCCCCCAGTGATCAGTCTGCTGCAGGCAAGAGGAAGCATTTCCTCAGTCTCTGTTTTGCTTTACAAATGTTTACAGCGACTTGTTTATCTGATTCTTGTAGTAAAGCCAAAGAAACTGACCTAGTAGTATTTCATGTGTTTTTACTTATAAAACAAATGCTCTGTACACCGCGGTTCTTGCCGCCCATAAATTCCGTATTGAAGAAGACTTTGTAGCGATAAAGCTTTCTCAGGACTTGCTGCAGTCTCTCCCTCTCTCCCATGGAAGTCCTCTAGTCAAAGTTCCTCCATGTTGGCCTCCACCTGTCCATCTCACATGAGGAATCCGTGATTGGTCCAAAGAACACAATCACATCTTTCTCACGACAGCGTCCTGATGGCGACTGAAGTCCATTCCGCCTCTGAGAATTCTCTTATTAAATATCATCGCCGGCCCGATGACACACGAAACATCGCACTTACCCATGAGGCACGACGGTTGTCAGCAATGTGACCTCTGCGCTGTACGGGTCCCAGAGAAGACACACCGAGGGGGCACATACATGTCCTGCTGACCAGCCGTCTCTCTCTCTCTATATTCCCTCCATTGTTCCCACATCTTATATTATTATATGTAAATTCACACGAGGAATTATATGTTTGTCTCGCAAAAAATCATGATAAATATATGACATTCTCCCCTCCCCCAGTGATCAGACTGCAACATTGTAACATGAGGAAATATATCTGGATCTTGATCCGCTGTACTCTACAACCATCAGAGGGAAACAAGGGTTTTGATTGGTTATTTTGGGTCCATATTATAAAGACCAGAAAATCCTGACGTCCTCCAATCCCGCTTCTTCCTCTGTAGATGATCCTCCAAGGCCGTCGCTCTCTGTTCACCGCGGACATGAACTCCTCTCCCGCCGGCCATGGCTTCAACAACCCCTTTAAATCACTCCAAGTCACGCCCCCGGAGAGCTTCACCCAATCGTGGAAGAGAACCCGCCCTCCCGGCTGTGCTATATCCATAGGGGAAGCCCCGGCTGACATATCCGGGCCCCTTAGTGCGCATAGTGTAAACGGCGCCGCCATGTGATAGTTCTGGAATCTTCCGGCGTGACTTCTCCATTCTACGTTCATGATTGCCGGGCCGCCCTCCATCATAAGATGAGTAATCCATAGAAGTATGGCGCCGGTGCGGGGGTTCTGGCGCAGGGTCACGGAATAATGGCGCCTTCGAGTGACGGAGCTCCAAACCTCGACATCCTCATTGTATTTCGCCGCAGACAAAGGACGCGGCGCGGGGCGGATGGTGAACCGTCAGAGCCGCTGTTATTTCATTATGAGGAACCCGTTCAGCCTCTCTCATCGGCGGGGAACGGATCGGTTTGTGGAATTAGCGGCGTGCTGCGCGGTGTTGGCAGCCGCGCGGTGATAAGGGGGATAATATATTGTACGGTGAGAATAAAACTGGTATAAGACGAGGAACATGACGGCACAACGGAGCATCGGAGGGAGATAACAGATAAAGACTCTCAGATAATTTGTAACAATAATTGCATATTCACAATGAGCCAGACCGCTGCTTTATGAGCGCCGCGATCTGCGAGCGCCGCGTCTACAGATCTATCGCACAATAAACCGCCAACGTCCAGCTTATCTGACTCCCATACTTTACTAACGAGAGAGAACAACGGAGGAGACGGATGGAGGCAGAGACGCCGGGAATGATGAGACGTCACACACCGCCGTCCTGCAGCGCCGAGAACGGCGGCAATTAGTGGGCCCACCCAGTGATGACTAACCCCATTCACTAAAGTGTCTGAGATACAAACCGCCTGTGCCGCCCAAATCCAGCCAATCACAATGAACCCTCAGTGTCGGCCAGTAGAAGTTATGGATCGCGCTGTTATCGGACTATATAGTCCAATCGAATACTGATCATGGATATCCAGCCAGGCAAAGAGCTGAGATTAGAGACCCGCGGGGACCGATGTGTTATTGTTATCTGCAGCCTCCAAGCTTTGCTCCGCACAAGATATTCGAATGTTATAAAATGAGACCAACACGATTTACTGCAGGTGTGTGAGAGACGTGTCATTGACGTGTTCAGCAATCAGCACTGGCCTATCACCGGCTCTGCTTTATTCAATGAAAGAAGCCTAGTAAGCCCTCGTTCACACCGGAACGTTTTGTGGCGGGTTCTACGCTCGACGAACGCTCTACAAAACGCTCTACAAAACGCTCAAACATCTAAATCCCATTGTATTCAATGGTCTCGTTCCCACCTCGGCGTATTTCCGCCCGTCCCTAACGCGCAACAAAACGGCCCGCGCCTGGAAAGGTGCCGGGACTACTTTGGGCCGTTTTGTTGCGTGTTTCCATTGGGATACAGCCAAGTAGCCTTCGGAAACGCGCGTTTGTCGCGCGACTTTTGTACCGCGAATCGCGGTAAAAAAATGCGCGATGGTCGCGCGACAGACGCGCATATGCAATACGCCTAGGTGTGAACGAGACCTAAGGCCGGGCACACACCTTACAACCATTGTATGACTTTTGTCTTGCGTCGGTTGTAAGGTACTTTAAAAAAACGTACGATCCGCCCATCTTGCATAGGCAGATCGTACTTGCGATGATCGCAGGCCACGCCCCCTGAGGGGCGGGCTTCCGTTGGCCGCAATGCCGAACACAGGCCCGTACGACTTTTATCGTACGAACATACCACAAACCCGCCGAACGTCGTACGATGCTCGGCGGGTTTTCGAACATGTCCGTAAGTTAAAAGTCGTGCGACCGTACAGTAGTAGAGGTCGCGCGGCTTCCACACACCTTCCGATAATCGTACGATCGCGGGATTTCCCGCCAAACCAGAAAATCCTGACGTCCTCCAATCCCGCTTCTTCCTCTGTAGATGATCCTCCAAGGCCGTCGCTCTCTGTTCACCGCGGACATGAACTCCTCTCCCGCCGGCCATGGCTTCAACAACCCCTTTAAATCACTCCAAGTCACGCCCCCGGAGAGCTTCACCCAATCGTGGAAGAGAACCCGCCCTCCCGGCTGTGCTATATCCATAGGGGAAGCCCCGGCTGACATATCCGGGCCCCTTAGTGCGCATAGTGTAAACGGCGCCGCCATGTGATAGTTCTGGAATCTTCCGGCGTGACTTCTCCATTCTACGTTCATGATTGCCGGGCCGCCCTCCATCATAAGATGAGTAATCCATAGAAGTATGGCGCCGGTGCGGGGGTTCTGGCGCAGGGTCACGGAATAATGGCGCCTTCGAGTGACGGAGCTCCAAACCTCGACATCCTCATTGTATTTCGCCGCAGACAAAGGACGCGGCGCGGGGCGGATGGTGAACCGTCAGAGCCGCTGTTATTTCATTATGAGGAACCCGTTCAGCCTCTCTCATCGGCGGGGAACGGATCGGTTTGTGGAATTAGCGGCGTGCTGCGCGGTGTTGGCAGCCGCGCGGTGATAAGGGGGATAATATATTGTACGGTGAGAATAAAACTGGTATAAGACGAGGAACATGACGGCACAACGGAGCATCGGAGGGAGATAACAGATAAAGACTCTCAGATAATTTGTAACAATAATTGCATATTCACAATGAGCCAGACCGCTGCTTTATGAGCGCCGCGATCTGCGAGCGCCGCGTCTACAGATCTATCGCACAATAAACCGCCAACGTCCAGCTTATCTGACTCCCATACTTTACTAACGAGAGAGAACAACGGAGGAGACGGATGGAGGCAGAGACGCCGGGAATGATGAGACGTCACACACCGCCGTCCTGCAGCGCCGAGAACGGCGGCAATTAGTGGGCCCACCCAGTGATGACTAACCCCATTCACTAAAGTGTCTGAGATACAAACCGCCTGTGCCGCCCAAATCCAGCCAATCACAATGAACCCTCAGTGTCGGCCAGTAGAAGTTATGGATCGCGCTGTTATCGGACTATATAGTCCAATCGAATACTGATCATGGATATCCAGCCAGGCAAAGAGCTGAGATTAGAGACCCGCGGGGACCGATGTGTTATTGTTATCTGCAGCCTCCAAGCTTTGCTCCGCACAAGATATTCGAATGTTATAAAATGAGACCAACACGATTTACTGCAGGTGTGTGAGAGACGTGTCATTGACGTGTTCAGCAATCAGCACTGGCCTATCACCGGCTCTGCTTTATTCAATGAAAGAAGCCTAGTAAGCCCTCGTTCACACCGGAACGTTTTGTGGCGGGTTCTACGCTCGACGAACGCTCTACAAAACGCTCTACAAAACGCTCAAACATCTAAATCCCATTGTATTCAATGGTCTCGTTCCCACCTCGGCGTATTTCCGCCCGTCCCTAACGCGCAACAAAACGGCCCGCGCCTGGAAAGGTGCCGGGACTACTTTGGGCCGT